TGGAAAATGAGATGCCTCCCGCAAGTCCTTGTGGGTTCCCACTTGTTTAACTTCTAAAAGCCTGGCCTTAGTTGTGTTTATACCAACTGCAAAGGTATTTTCCTCCAGATAAGTGTGCTTAGGGCTGCAGTGGACACAGTTCAAAGCTAACTTACAAAAGCTCATCTCCCTTATAAATAAAAGCTGAATGGTGGTGGCACTTCTCTAGAACATTCCACACGCTCCAAAATCAGTTCGCTCTCTGATCTGTCAGAGGTCGTGTTTGTATATGCGCCTTGATTGGCTTTTGCCTCTAACATTCTAAACAGTTTGCTGTTCTGAGGAAAAATGTGTCCAATCTCCAGGTGAGGGCTGGAGATCACTCAGAATTCCAACTGCTTTCCAGATGGCAGAGATAGTTCCCCTAGAGAAAATGGTGGGCTCTGTATCCTTATATGCTGCTGAGGTGGCCCCCGTATGACAGCCAATGTGACATAGCAGTCAGGGCTTCAGAGCACGGGAGAGGCTGCAGGTGTGTGGGGGGTGGAAAGCTGAAAAGTGAGGGGGAAATAAAGGTAGGTTGATGATTGGCTGGGAAGGAGATAGGGTTGCCAGCTCCAGGTGGGAAAGTCCTGGAGATGTGAGGGATGGAGCCTGGAGAGGGTGAGGTTTCAGGAGGTGTGGGACCTCGGAGAGGTACAAAGCCATAGACTCCACCCTCCAAACCAACCATTCCCTTCTGGGGAACCAGCATTGCCAATCTCCAGGTGAGGGCTGGAGATCACTCAAAATTACAACTGTTCTTTAGGTAGCAGAGATCAGTTCCTCTGGAGAAAATGGTGGACTCAGTGTCATTATACCCTGCTGAGGTCACCACAGCAAATTGACACTGAGTGTCCAAGGCCGGGGCACCCGCCCAGAGCCTCTTTCTAGAGGCCGTTGTATTTATTTCCACAACGGGCCTTTTTCCTAGTTTTGAAATCTTTAAGTGCTACTGGACTTTTGTTTAATTTACTAAAGTTTGTCATGCTTGAGTCCTACTGAAATCAATGGAATACATTAGTTACAGCTTTGATTTTCACTGGGCTTAAGTGTGACTAACTTTAGTTAGATATTTCATTAGTAGCTTGTCTAGCTCTTCTAAAGCAACAGGACTTTTCCATTACAAAAATATTGAACCAGTAAGATTAATAATCATGTGACTTGAAGGGGGATTTTCATGTTAATTTTTTTCATTAACGCAAGAACATGTAACCATGTCATAAGAACCTTTCTGTACAGTCTGATTCTCCAGCTTTCAGAACTAGCCATCAGTCAACCATAATAATAAATACACCACTTTAATTTCAAAACCATACTGAAAAATGGTAGCCATTAAGCTTTTCAGACCCATCTTTTAACCCTTACTGGCAAATGGGGACTCGCTTTGATTTTATGTTTATATTTATTTTAAAAGTTACAGCCCACCTGTGTGGCTCCCTAGAATGCTCAAGGTGGCAAAATACATATTATACACAACTATATATGATTAGTAACAAATACTGAAATGTTTCTCATACCTATCAGGCCACACTGCAGAGAACTGCCACACTGGATACATCCTTGAGCTAATTTTCATCCCTGTTTATGAACTAGGCAAATGCTCTGCAAGACTTGCTGCAGAGGACTGTTCTGAAATGATTACCACTCAGTGTGAAAAACCTGATGAAGGCCTGTTTTTACATATGGCCACATCAAGCGAGCACGGCAGAGAATACTATGACTTTTTGAAAAACCACAAACTTTTCACCTCATTTCCAGTCATTCAGCATTTTTCACTCATTTAGTTTCAAAATGAAATAAAAAAGCTTCTGTGGATCTGGAGGGGTTACAAACAGGGAAGAACAAAGCCACATATACTTCTATTGCTTAGAGTCAATCTGAAATAGTCAAGCCTCTGAATAAATTCAAGTGTAGAGAAACAGACTGCTGTCCCATATTATCGATATAGCAGAGAGGCCCTCCTGAATAACAGTGAAAACATGCAGTACCAGTATTTCTGATCAATACTTTAACTGAACTAATAGACAACTGTTTATATCTGTCAAACTATCTTGCAATTATTCCGACCTAGAATCCCATTACACTTCAGAGCAATGTAATAAAAACATTTCTTTGCTTTTCATGCTTTTCATGCCATTTGGGGGTCTTGTTTATTTATTCCAGTATATAAGGGATAATGTAGATTTGTATTGGTTTGTATTTTTATCAACCAACTAGGAATCCAAACACAGATTAGAACCATATTAACAAAAATTGGAAAAATATTTTATTAGATCAGTTAATATTTTAAAACGATAAAAGCCTCCAAACTTAATATCTAACATCCAAATGGCATATGTCAAGTATTCAAAGCACTTCATGTACATTGTCTCAAGAATCCTTACAACAGCCCTGTAAGGTAGGCAAGTGCAAGCATCATCGTATTACAGACGGGGGAAAGCCAAATCTGGGAGAATTACGGCTTGCTGCTCAGTGAGTTTAATGGCGAAGGTGAAATTTGAATTTGGGACTTCCTAGCTTACACTTTTAGGTACTCTGCTTCAGAGTATAGATAATACAAATATAAGGCTTCACCTTACCAGTGATTTTCACTTTATCTTTGCTTATGTAACCATTGCAACTGAACAACTTGATCTAAACTCACCTATTCTGCCTCTCTCATTCTGTGGATCAAAACAGCCACAGACACTAACGAAGCTTCTGAAAGTTTTGCATGACATAGAGAGTAAAAAAACAATTCAGTCAGTCAGTCAGTCTTGGAAGCATTCACCTTCCAAAATGTGTTTGTGGGTAGCACACGCCCCCACAGCTTTGTTTAAAGCAAAAGGCACTCTCTCCTTTGTGTGTCAGTAGTGGAGAATCACTCTGTTTTTCTCTGCATCCCATGAAGTTTCCCAGAAAAGCTCAACTGTAGAACAGTTACCTATAAACACATAAACTGAAAGAATAAAAGTGTTATATGTGGCTGCTTGAAGGTGCCCACTTAATGGTTTTAAATAAAACATAAATGTATGTTTCAAATAACTGTGAAGGACCTGAAGGGAGACATTTTTAATGAGCTAGAGCGTCCAGCAGGCTAGTGCTGTATACATTCATTCTTTAGACTACAACTGTAGTTTGTTTTCCTGTGACTGAGCCAAAGGACAGTGTCGGCATACTTTGAACCTCATTACCTTGTATCTGTCTAGGGGGTCCTCCTGTTGCAGTTGGTTCTCCCGCATCATTTGATACTCTCTCTCATATTTCTTCAGTTTCTTTGTGGGCACCTATAAAGGGATAAAGAAAACTATGCTAGTAGTGTCAAGAGAAACACTCAGGGGAGAAGCAAGGTGTTGCATCGAAACACCCCCACCCACAGAGGGGAACAGGAGATCTGGACTGAATTTCAGCAAACCTGTAACACGAACAAACCAAAGGTTGTCAAGGCATTCATACTTCAGGCAACGTCTAGACTGAAGCCGTATGTGTGGACTTCCCCTAAAGGACTGTGACAAATATTGTTCCCATGACCAGCAGGGTTTTGCAGCACTGGTCTTCCCCAGGGACAGAGATATGAGATAGTGACCATCAAAGAGCCAATGTGAGAAGAATGGTGAATCCTGTCCCCATGACAATGACACTCCAGCTCTCCTCCTTAAAACTGCCTTCTAGCTGAGTAGCACTTCCAGGTACGTGGGGCAGTGGAGTTCTTCATTCCAACATCCTCTTGAATGCCTGCCCCCTCCAATGAAATCCACTGAATCCACTGGATTCAGCTGCCCCGGTTGCAGGACTGGCAGCATAGACAGAGAAGCATTAATCACTGCTCTAACTTCGTAACACTGTATGTATTTTGGACCCATAAATTGAGCAACATAAAGTCCAGAAAGAATTATTAGTGAGCAGCAGAGCATACTGAAGACATTGGGTTGGATTCAGATTAAGGATTCCCCAGGTACAATGATTTCCAGGCAGAGAGTATGATTCCCTCACCACAGCAACCCAAAATGCTCCCCAGAATCCTGTTCCTGGGCCGATCCCTAAAGAGGTGGTAAAATCATGCTCTGTAAGTGGAAATTCTTGTGCCTGCAGAAACATCTAGTCAGGATCAAAGTCCTTGGCCCTGTTGCCACTCAAGAAGGCTGGGTGCAAAGCAAGTTGTACACCCATCCTATCCATGGGTCCTTGTAAGGAAGTCTCTGGTATCACTTCCAGATACTCAGCCTGAGTGCAGGCAGACATCTTAGCAGGCAAAAGAAAAAGAAAGAAAGCAGGCTACAGGTACACTGGCTTCAAGATGGCTGTGTGCAGATAATTAACCATGTAGTCCCCCAGGTAGAAGGTACTCAAACTGACAGAGGGCACTGGATGGGTGCTCTAGTATCATCTGACTTCACGTGTCAGGAAGATATGTGAATATCCTGGCTAGAACTGTGTATAGTTTTCCCCTCTCTGGTCAGCAGCCCTGGTGGCTCTTGTAGCAGGACGTCAATGCCTGATCAGCATGGTCCCTGGTTCAACCACTGTCATGGCCTGACATTGTTTCTATACCTCTGTGTACATATTACTTGAATGCATTAGGGAGGGGGTACGAAAAAGGCCTCACATTTGCCCTCCACACATCTAAGTGAAGGTTTGTATAGTGCCTACATGGGTACAACAGCATGCACATGAAACATAAAATCAAGACGCCTACTCTTCAAGGGCCTCCGGTCACCTGGAGAGAGTCGTATACACACAGGGTCTATGCAGACACCTGTGCAAACATGTGGAGGTGAGGAACTGGAACCATGTGTGTGATCCTGCCTTGCCCTTACCCTCTATGCATTCAAATAACATAAGTACAGGGCTTATAAAGTCCAAAGCTAGGTCTTGGGGAGAAAGGCTGTGAGAACAACAGTTTTAACAATATGTTCGCTGTTTCATAGTACTCCTCTCTGCCAATTTCCTCCAATGAGATCTTAAAAGATCCAGGTTTTTCAATCATTTCCATGCTTTATAACAGGTAGATAGGTGAATGAAGAACAGCAAAGGAGGGGGGGAGCACCTGCCCCACCCACACAAGACACTCTTATTTAATCAGCCTTCAGGTGCAAACAACAATATCCTAGAACTGCCAATTCTCTGGCAAAACGATTCAACTTAAAATATTTTTCATTATTTAATCATCTGTGAGAGAAGATAGGGCATTATGCCTGCCCAAATTATTCTCTCTTTCCTTTGTACATTTGTTTTCTAAAGCGACTGTTAACACATTTCAAATTTAAGCTTAGATTTTTAAGAACCAAAGACCAGAGACTTCTGTTACTGCCTCGCTGTGCTGATGTGATTCTTACTTTGATTGTGCTCAGGGAGACAGCAGCCTCCTAGAATGGTTAGTTGCTAGGATACCTCTTAAAAGCATACATCTTGTGTGTTCTGTGGTGCTCTGTGACTGCCCTTCCATCAACAGATATAGCCAGATGACAACAGGAAACACAGGGAGAGAACATGAACTGAGGAGAAAACAGTTGCCATCAAAGCAGGCAAAGCCAAAGATTCCCAAGATAGGAACACCAGAGCTGGCTGTTAAATGAACAGCAATGCTTTTCTTTAGGGTTTTTAAAACTTATACTGGATAGTAGCTAAAGGAACAAAAAGAAAGATTTGTATTCAGTTCTTATTCTGCAGACAGAGTTTGGAGATTGCATGTCTTCTATGAGCGCATGAACCCAGAGACTGTTTTATTGCTCCTAAAACTATGTTTGTTTGTACTACAAAGGCAGGAATGTATATGCTTTTTCTTTCCATAATTTTCCTTAAAATGGACACTCTGGTTAATCCCCCTGTAGAAAATCATTATTAAAGAGAGAAATTATTTTTTCTAAAAAATACAACTTTTGAAATCATCTTGTGATACACAAAGCTTATCTCAGATTCTATTCATCTGCTCAGAACTGAGACTACTAGAAGCAAATCATATGGAGTATATTGTCTCCTGTTACAAATTATTACTTTGTCAGTTTGTTCTAGTTGTTAACATGTTTTGCACAGAACACAGCAATTACATGAGAATGACACAACTCCATTCAGCCCACAATTAAGCATAATTAACATATGAATATCGTAGCTAGCCTGATCAACACCCCCCCATATTTTGCAGATACCTCTCATTCTTGCTGAAAAAGCAATACTTCAAAGCATATTAGACTTTAAGCTACACAAATAACTACTCCAATCAGAGGAGAGGGGGGAAAACACAGTAGAATTTTGATGGCACACAACAGACCCATTCACCACTCTATTAAATTACAAGAAATTTAATCTGCAGAACAGATATACTAGACATGAAACAAAAGACAATGCAAAAAACCCTCTTGTAAGAAGCCTGGTTAATCATAAGCATAAGGTCCTCACAGGAAGGAAGGGCCAAGTCCCCAGTGCAATTCCAGAAGAGTGGTCATGGTGTTCTAGTAAAACTGGGATCTACTGGTTCCACTAATAGGGTTTTAGCCAGGGGTCGTTTCATAGAAAAAGAGCTAGGGGAACTCATTAGCATAACTCATTAGCATATGCCACACCCCCTGACATCACCGGAAGTGTGTCATAAGGCCACACCCCCTGACGTCACCGGAAGTGTGTCATAAGGCCACACCCCCTGACATCACCGGAAGTGTGTCATAAGGCCACACACCCCGCCCCCAACGGTCCCGGCCGCCGCCGCCAGCCTTGCAGCTCCACTGCCGAGCCCCATGAGGGGCCGGCGGTGGACCTGCAAGGCCGGCGGGAGTGCAAGGAAGCTTCGCGAAGGCCCTCCCTGGCCCCCGGCAGGCAGGGGTGGGGAGAGGCAGGGAGGAAGCAACTTACCCTCCCTCTTCTCCTGCCTCCTCCTGGCTGAATGAGGGCCGGAAGCAGGGCGGCCGGAAGCAGTGGGCGGGGCTTCGTCATGTGCCCCGCCTCCTGTACCTCACCCGGGGGAACTGCGATCCCCCGCGATCCCCCCCGAAGTGACCTCTGGTTTCAGCACATAAACTTTACCAGAGTTCAGACAGAAGACAACATTTGAGCTGAGAAGGAACCATGTCACTGGCGCTGGCCACACAGTTCCAAAGACACAAGCAGTAGTCACAGGCTTCCACTAGTCATTCTTCAAGCCATATGTCAACACATATCTGAAGCTAAATGGTAGGTTGTGTCATAAGTTTTAGTAGATACAGTTACAGGTTATGTCAGTTTATGCCACTGCTATTCCAAATGCAACGTAATTCTGCTATTTTGCTTGTGCAAAAGCATCCACTCTCTGGTACATGTACTACTGCATGCCTCCCTCTGTCCCTCCTCTATGCAGACAATGCAAGTGAGTAAATAACATTCCATCGTTGTGCCAAGACACACTCCTCCCTCTCCATTATTTCACCTCCAAGTCAGGAAGAGATAAAAGATAATGCCGTTTTCTAACAGTCGATTAATTCAGTATATCCAAAGACTGACTTGGGCCCGCTAAATTGAACATCATCATCTCTATTCATGTATAATATAGGCAGCTTAGGTAAGAGTTAGCGTTGCTCGCATTTTTCTTGTTATTATCTGAATATTAAAGAGGCAGTAGCTCAAGCAAATGCAATGTACAGTGCAGTAAAGTACACGCTATTAAAAAAAAATTATCCTACCCTTTTCAGGAACCCGTCTGCATTCAAATGGACTCCGGGGACACATCTAGTGCAGTAGTACAAGCCACTCAGATATTACGAGGTGAAGAGACAAAAATTATATGTTGCTAAAGAAAGCCAGAGTTACCATTCCACCAGAGTGGACTTTTCATTATGGGGAAATTTTCTTTCCATTGTCAAGAGTGAACCTATGCTCAACCCTTCCAGTAGACAACACAGCATAAAAATCTTGTGGGAACTGTCAGGGATTAACCACATATTATGCCCTGGCTTTAACGGCAGGCATACTGGGGGGGTGTGTGTGTGTGCATGCATCTGTGTGTAGAGATACATTTGTTTTTAAATTATCCCATACACATAAAATTTAGCAGACTCTGTATACACCCTTCCCAAGGACATATAGAACATAAGGGTACAATCTAAGAGAACCTCTTTTCTACACGGATGGAGCAGTACAAATGGGAGCTGTTTGTTGTCTTGTGGCACTGCACAACACAAATTCCCACTGGACTGTGCCTCAAAAAATAAACCAGCCTCTCCTCCCCACAAATCCCTGCATGAATCTCATGGAAAGAAAAAACAATAACACATTAACTGATGCAATGCGCAAGGTAGGCTGCAACCTGTAACCAGTTTGG